CGTCACGAAACTTGAAAGAAAGGAAGAAATATTATCTTTCGGATGAAAAACATGCCCCTATCGCGGCATAGTGATGTCGCTTGTAAATCACATACTAGAGGATTGTGGTTCAAACTCCGCGGGTGCATTCTTGTACTGATAAAGAGAGTAGATAACATATAGATCGCGAACAAACGTATCAATTTAACGCAACTTGAGCTTGGTGTGCGAATTTGTGCATTATGCAAATAGTGGATGAAACATCACACATGTTCTCCTGAGACAGCTATAAAATGGATGTCTCCTCGTGGTTGTATGTTAAATCTCATGGTCATGGAGCGATGACACAAAATGAATATTGTGGGATGGTTCTACTTACGGTGAATGTGAGCGCAAGGAATGATCAGCAGAGCGGTTGCAGATCCTACAAGTAGTGAATAGAGACAGGCTGCTTGACTAGCAGACTTCCATCCGGCAGACCAGCTAAAGAAAGTGCAACCGGAACATACCTTATCATACGGCCTGACATATTCAAACAGCAGCACCAGAGAGACAAGTGTAAAGTGTGGCCTCTTAAAACGTTACTTTTGGAAATCCTAAATGAATTAAGTGCTATCCATATCAACCAACACCTAACCAGGAATTATTGGACGGTGATGCCAAGAGACGTTTCGCATGGTACAACTTCGTCATGAATCAGATAGAGGTCCAGCCAACATTCTTGGTAGGTATAATGTGGACGGATGAGGCATGATTTTCTCGGAATGAAATGCACAATAGGCAGAACACCCATTACTGGGCATTGGAAAATCCTCATTGTCTACCGAAGTTTGACTTCATATACGCTTTTCGATTATGTATGGCGTGGAATTTATAATAACAGGCTAAGCGCCTCAATATTTTATCAAGGTGCATTAACGGCCGTACAATATTTAGAATTTCTGCAAGACATAATACCGGATTTTTTCAAGAACTTGCTTTTGCTTTAACTCCCGAATGGATGGTTCCAACATGACGTCTCAAGTGAAGCAGTACCTGATGGAGCAAATCAGAGAACGAATAATCGGGTACGGTGGTTTCGAAGAGTGGCCTCAACATTCACCTGACTCCTGCGGACTTTTACTGTGCGGATACGTTAAGCATCAGATGTATGCGACCCCTCTACGTCCTTCAAACATTGCAGGACCTTCAACGACGTATTACAGATGCTTGTGCAAACTTGTCACCCGCTATGCTACAATGTGCAACATGAAGTTCTAACAAGGGTCTAGATGTGCATTTTAGCTGATGGAGAGAAATTTAAAACATTGAAAGTAAAGGTAGCTTGTGATAACTAGTTGTTTTTTTTTTCTTTCTAAGATTGTTTCGTGACGTCACAGTTTCGGAAATCGCGAACAAACAGATGCGCGTTTAAAACGATCTGTTCTTAATATTCATGTCCTCGAGGTATCTTTTCTTACGAAATCGACGATGCTCTACAACTTCGCAGTTCACTTTTTCTTCCTATCTCTTATCGTTTTCGAGATAGAAACTCTAACTCCGCCGTTGTCTACCAGGTGATGCTGAAAAATTTTTTATCTAGTAACGCATAGCCTAAAGTGACCACACGTCTCAACTTTTTCGGGACAGTCCCGCTTTTTGAAAGAAGCGGCTGAACCTCGCAAAAAGATGTGTGAAGTTTATGGTGATAATTGCTTAACAAAATGTATGTGTCAGGTTTGGGTTAAAAGATTTCTTTCTGAAGAATTTCCCTTGAAATTGACTAAAGTTGAAGCTTATTTTTTAAAGGTGATGATAACAAAATTAAAGCCATAATTGAATAGAAACGTAAGCCGTAAATGAATCGTCATATAACTGAGCTAGAGACTGCAAAATGTTTAATTGTATCACATACAACAATTGAAAATCACTTAAGATATCTTGTCCTCATTAAGAAGCTCATTCAACATTTGGGTTCCACTTGAATTTTACTTGAAATTTACTTAATCAATATTTGTGATGCGCATTTCAAACTGTTATGTATTAATCGTTATATATTTTTTTTTAAGCTTAAGTTGTTTTCCTTATTTCAGTTTTGATTTGTAATTGAAGTTCTAATTTTTTTTGTTGTTTAAGGTTGGTTGTAAGTTTAAATTGTAACTTTTGTAAACTTTAAGTTTTTGGTTAGGTTGCTTTTAAAAGTTCTGAGTTGAAGTTGTTTAATTTTAATTTGAGTTTAGGGACTTAGATTTTTGTTTTTGTTCTAGTTGTTTTGACCCTTAAGGTTGTTTAACTTTTAACTTTATTTTTTATTTTAAAACTTTGCTGTTGCACCTTTGTGTGTTAATTTTTTTTCTTAACTTTGAGTAATTTAATTGGTATCCCTCTTTCTTTTAACGTTAAACGAATACATACTTTCTGACTGGCGGTAGAAGAAAAATAATTTCATTCTATTTGTATTTCTTTTGGATAAATTGTGTTTAGTCTAAATTGGTGGCTGAGGAAAACAATTATTTCAGTGCTGACATTTTTATTATGTATTATAATGGTGTGTAATTAGTAGCTTCATTTTTTTAATTTACCAAAGTCTTTTTGTATTAACTTAGTTCAGAGATTTTCACCCCTTGCCCTCTTTCCTTCAGCGGAAATTCTTATCAGCAATTGTACTGCACCCCAAAATTCCTTTCGGCTAAGCGTTCCACCATGTGTGGGGGGCGAAAGTGTTTGATAGTTTTACCATGTGGTTGTCACGAAAAGGGGACCCTGTTTTGCTGGACCAGGCTAGCAGGGTGATGTTCTACAGCATACTTATGGTGGGGGGAAATATACGTTGAGACAGAAGACCTGCATTATCGACTGGGGCCCTGGAGCGAGGCTAGTTTCTTCCCCCTTGTTTCCGCCTGCATTTGTGATGACACATTGGCGTGGCCTTGGAAGTTAAACGATGGAATGGATGGAATGGCGAGAAACGGCTCCTTTTGGTAGTCGGGAACCCTTTTCCGTGAAGATCTAGAGTGTGGGTTGCTTTTTTTTTTGGCTTCCTGCTAGTCACCATCTACGCCAAGTTTTCAAAAAACGCGCCAGCTACTAAAACGGCTGCGCAGTGTTTTTCGGGAGGCTTGAGGAGACAGGGAGTGACGGAGACGACAGAAGAGAGACGGAAAAAGGAAATTTCACGAGAACTTATAAGATGACAACTTGGACGAGCAGCTCGGAGGTGAGCCTCATCTTAGACGTAGCAACGTAAATTAACCAACACCGAAGAGAGGCTGCAACACCTATATTTCTAAAATCCTAAAATTTACGCTGTCATGATGGCCTGTGGACCGAAGACCTGTGTCCTGCTGGTTGGAAGCAGTAATAGGAGGGAAGCCTGGCCTCCGAACCAATAGCTTGGTGGAGTCTCGTCAATTTAACTCTTTTTGTTTTCTAATTTCAGATACTATCCCAAGTTTTTCTCCGAGAAATAAGTTTCGCTAATAAAACTCAAATATATGAAGGATCCCTAATATGTTAAAGAAGGGTATGACATCCTTTTCTGTTGTTTTCACATTAGTTCTTTAATTGATCGAGCCAACACGTTTAATTGTAATGTTTAGTGAGGTCATGACTCTCTTTTTATGTTTTGTAATCATAATATTTTTCTACCTTAAATAAACGTAAGTTGATTTTATTCTCCTGTCTGTATTTATTGTAATTATCTTTTACACTGGACCTTAAACATAGAATGGGTTTTGTTTAACACAACGCAACTTCCTGGAAATTATTGATTTGTTTACATATTTTGTTTTTATGTTTCACTATGACTGCCCACAATACTTAGTATGTTATTGTCAAAATATTGATTGATATGTTCAGTTAAGTGACTTATACACACAGTTATCTACCGCATAACACAGAATGAACTTTTTCTCTAGTTGTTTCACAAATATGATGTTCATTTGTAATTATTAAGTATGAATTTATGTTGTTTATATAACAAAACATAATGTTCTGTTTTAAATCGAATTATCACTGGTGATGAAAAATGGACGTCGACGATAACAGTGATTGAAACAAATCATGGCCCAAGCGTGCCGAATCAGCACAAATCATATCGAAAGCTAAATTACAATAGAAAAAACCATACAGTCAATTGTGTGGGATTAAAAAAAGTGCTCTGTATTTTGAGCTGCTTTCAAGCAACCAAACGATCAGCTCAGATCGTTTGGTTTTTTTGTTTACTGGTAACGATTTATGAAACTGAAGGAAGCAATCAAACGGAAAAAGCCAGAATTGGCAAGTAGCAAAGGAATCATGTTCCACGACAATGCGAGACCTTACACATCTTTGGACATACGCACGGAATTATTCGAGCTTTGGTGGGAAAAATTATGTCGCATCCCTTATATAGCCCCATCCATGTACCATCGGATTATCATTTATTTCAAAGTTTACAAAACTTCTTAAATGATAAAAAATTTAGGGACTTTAAATTGCATTCTGTTGTGCTATTTGCTGATTTTTGCTGACTCAAAAAACGTTTTTGAGTTTTTACAACTGACGATGATGGTTCGTTAAAACCATAGAAACTAGTCCTGTGAAAATTTGAAAATATAACGCTGATTTTTGTTGTTTGACTTCTGAATTAATATTTGTTTCGGCGTGTTATTGTGTCTTAATTAAACAATAAGATGTTTACCATGTTTTAAAGAATAACTTTTTCTTTCCTAGACTCAGGTCAAGAAAATATTCCCAAATGTTTTGTTTTGCAAAACATTTTAAAATTTGGTATATACATTTAAAATAATTTACTAATTATAATATTAGATTTTGATGACAAAATTATGTTTTCGTTGTTATTGATTCACAAAAGTGTGTCTTTAATTCACATACCAGTGACGATCAACTGGAATTAAAAAATTGCTTTACATTAAATACCAGAATCTTGTTAAAGAAAAATGTATGCTGTTAAAGACGATGTATAAAGCTGTCATTAAATGTTATCAGTTTCTTTGGCCTTCTACAATGAACACTTTTGCTCAAGTAATAATTACAAAACGGAATAACAAGCCATTTATAGAAATTTAAAGTTCCAGAAAGTTCAATCCTAAAACAAATTAAACACAGGAATATATTTTACAAAGAAACAGTAAAGCAAAGTAATACATTCGTACAACATAAAAGTAGAAAAACAAATCTGAAAAATCCATCTCTTTCAGTGCTTTTGCTTCTCTGCTTGAATTCCCATTCTCTCACTTATTTGTATTTAAAAGAAACTCTTTGGACAGATCTTAAAAAATATTGTTCCATAATTTAATCTTATCTATTAAAATACTACATGTATTAAGATATCTTTAAGTACTTTCGCATTCCATTCAAACTTTAACAGATAGTGCGGTATTTTCTATATCAAGGGTACCATTCTTAGCTTGATCTGGAACTTTCATTTCATGCTCATTGTCTTTACAGTTGCCATTTGCTGTCGCAGAATTCTGAATATTTTTTCTTACTTTAGAGAAGACCAGTTTTTGCAGATTCAGAAATGGCACCTCAACAAGCATGGTCACAATAAATGCCATGACGGCAGATGCGAAAAGATCACCTATGAAACGCCATACCTGTAAAGTTAAAAGAATGTTATTTTTTAGTGCATCAGTAAACCATTTTGAACTAAATAAATGCACATTTAGTTAATCATTTTGAAAATGTTTTAAGGGAAGTTGGAACCCCCAAATCTTCAAAAAAATTGTGATTTCGGATTTTTACATTTCAAATTCTCTACACTTTTATCTTTCTAAAAATACCATTCTTTAATCTCTATGAAAATTAGAACTGTAAAAAAATCTAGTTTTAATTTGTCATCTACTGCTTTGGTCAATGAGGATTTTTACATAAAAACGCGTTTTCTCCAAACGTGATTTTTTTATACTCGATGTACCTTTTCTCAGGAACTACTGCTCACAGGTATCTAAACTTTTTATGGCTTATTTATTACGTTTCCTAATATTTACTGAAATGAGCGTTTTGTAATAAACTTAGAAAAAAACATTTTTAAAATTTTTTTGTGTGAGAAAAGTGCTAAAATTTACTATGCCTAACAAAATATCCTGTAATTTACTCTAAAATTCAAAATGTTTCAAAAGCTCATTTCAGTATAATCAGATAGGCATACTTTAATTACAGAAAAAATTTCAAGCTTGTATCTACAGCAGATTTTAAGAAAAGCTACATCGAAAATAGCTAGTTTAACATTGTCAGTATAGGGGTTAATGATACCCCTTAAACTAAAGCTAGTTTTCCATAAACAGTTGAGTTTAGACGTGAGAAATTATCAATCAGTTGATAATCCAATTCTATTAATAAAGTTATATAAGTTTTACAAGACATATGTTATTTACATATATATTTAGACATATGTTAGAAAAATCTATACGTAATATAAATATTTATAACAGAATATTATGCATAGAAAATGGATAAATTAAAAATTCTTAAGTATCCCGGTAAAATATTACAATGTTTCAGCTATAGGTTGGTTTCCAAATCGCTTTTATTTATGTATATCATTGAATGAAATGTAGTCTCTCCCAAAGGGCAAATGAAACAAGCAAAGCTGCTGCCCAAAAAATTCTATATAACAATATGTAAATGATTAAAAACTGAAATGTTTTAAACAACAAAGACAAACAACACAGAAGCTAAACTGAGAACAGTTGTTGTGAAAAATACTACATGCCTTTATTGTTTGATATATTCTATGACAGGGTTTTTAGGATATTTGTTGCAAATTCCTGTATCTTGATCATTTCTCTGAGACACTTCGATGCCACCGTAGCGACAGCACAGAGGATTTCATCAAGTGACATTATATGAAATATGATTCAATAATGGGCTTTCCAGGGCTCGTTATTTCTATCATCGTATAGCCACTGAAGTGAAACTTCATATAGCAGAAGTTCACACTGTGCGAATCGGTAGCTCACAAAACCTAAGTCCAGGTTGTGCGACCCGTAACCATGTGTACAGAAAATACATCATGATAATATTTAAATTTAACAAAGGGAAACGGGATAAAACTCTACAGATTTTCTTGACTCAAATGAAATCAATCACTGGACTCCTTCAAAATAACAAATTTTAAAATATGATTTATAAATAACAATACTTTTTTAACTTACGTTTAATGTTTTTTTTTCTTTTAATGAAACAAAATAGGAATAATAACTTTTTAAATCTGCTTAATAAAATTAATTGTTCTCGATAAGCAAAATATATGTGTAAACGCAGTCATATTGATCAAAACTCACAATAACGAAACAAATATGTACATGTAAATCACATACATATATATATATTTAATTCTGTTTATATATACAAATCATTTCAATAACACACTGTTCAAAATAATTTTCTTAATTCTAGGATTATGTGATTCCCATTTCAGATAGATTCCCCATATTAAAATGATCTTTGGGTATGTGATCCCTTGCGACTAGCTACGCAAGCTAATCGTTCTGAAAAATGGAAAACCCTGTGTTTGACTTCCGTGCGAGAAAAATTTGCTGAGATATATACAGTTTTAGCTTTCTACAGATTACACAGTAGCAGTAAATGAAACTTATCGCCCACTTTCAGAAAAAAGTTAAAAGATTTATGACAATAAAAGCGTAATCTAATAGTCACAAAAAGGATCAGTTGGCATAACAAGATTTTTCACTTTTATTTTATGCAAAGAATCTTACGAGTTAGCTATGCTCAAATACTGAAATCTGTCATTAATTTTTAGAACCCGAGTTCTAAAAATTGTGATAAGAGAATTAGACCTCCTTTTTGAAGAAATTAGTTTTGATAAAAACGTTTCATGACGATCTGCATGGCAGTACTCGTTATTTAATCTTATAATCAAACAGACATTTCATTTCAATCGTATAAAAATTTATTTGTTTGTCTCTTCTCCGTGTATACGGCCTTAAATTTTCAGAAAGGAACAACTCTTGAACTTAAAAATTTTATATATACAATTTTAAAGTTCAAGAGTATATCTTGTATATATCCTGGTAAATTTCTGCCATTCGTACTCGAAAATTGACAGCTCGAAACTAACTCGGAAATTCACAATTTATAAAAACGAAGCAATTCTAAATATAAAATATGTTCTGAAAAGGTAAAATACTGTTATACAGCTTTAAACGAATTATAAAATCGTGTATTAAAATCTAAGAAATGCAAGACAAAAAAGGGATACACCAATACACCAATATTTTATGTCTTTTGTACGAAAATTTCGTTTGTAAATAAATTTCTATCTAAATGCAAATTAATAAATATTGATAACCATATTAATAACTAATATTACATAGCGTAGGGAAAAAGGGATACAGCAAAAATATAGAATCTGATTGTATGAAAATTTCACTAGTAAATAAATTTCAATCTAAATGAAAATTATTAATTCTTGACAATCATATGAATAACTAATGTTACACAGCATAGCAACTGAGAACACAGATAGTGTATATAGGAGAAAAACATCCAAATTTAGGGCATAACTTCCATTCGAAATTCCTTTAGTCTACCGACTTTGACTATACCGAAGCTTTGCAAACAGATTCGAGCATAGTATGAGCATATGTCCCTAGCTGAAAAAGGACGTGCAATAGGCGAGATCAAACAGAAGTATTTCCAGACATTTGGGTCGGTGTGATATCGCCATTTGATGATGTTCTGATAAATGGTTGAAACATTACAGAACATAGTGTCGAGAAGGCTGCGTTCTATCTAGAAAGATGGCAGAATATGAGGATAGGGCGATCGTCAAAGTAGATTTTATAGTGCCTGATTAGTCATTTTCAATGATTCAACCTGTAACCGGGATATCAATGCCTCCAAGCAATGTTCAAAAGAGGCTTAGATAACTACTGTCGTGAAGTGTGCCAACTAACCATCTCCTGCCAACTGCATTTTCTGGGATACCGGATCGCTCGATCTGGAATCTCATTGATTATGGTAGAATTATGTTCAGCGATGAATCCTGATTGGATATGAGCCAGATGGCCTGCGAAAACGTGTTCGGAGACGTTCAGGATAGCGGTAGGCTGCTTTCTGACTGTAGTCCGTCACACAGTGAGAGAAGAAAAGTTATGGTTCGGTTTGTCACTTCATTTTATAGTCAAATCCCTTGATTGTTTTAAATGACACTTATACAGCACAACGTTACGGCAAGGATATTCTGCGGCCCATTGTGTTGCCCTTCCTTTCATAGTACTCCAGACAGCATTATCCGGCCGAACAAAGCAATCATTTTTGTTGATTGCTTTCATGCTTGTCAAACATCTCCCTGAGTTGCTAAGTTGCCAGATCACTTGTGAACGGCACATTTGTGTCCAGTGATGTATCCGGTGCTTTTAGGATGTTTATCTAACTACACAATTACAGCGAATTTCTCAAGAAAATTCACATTAGATCAACCACCAACTCCATAAGTCAATGTAAAGCCGGTTAACAGTTGGCATAATTCCGTTCGAATCATTCTTTCTTGGTTCGCTTTCTATTTTCCCTTCTTCTTTATACTAGAGCGTAGTTAGAGAACAGTGCACTTATTGCGAACATATATTTTAGAAAATTAAAGACGAATTAAATACACAGGTCCTGATAAAAAAATGAGACAGCTAACCATGATATAGCTGACAATTTAAATCAAAATTATCGAAGAGAAATCTAATTTTAATGTAATCACTCTATATTTATATTTTCTAAATTAATATTTCTGTTGTTCCTTCTTTATCCACTTAGCATCTCAATATATATATCAGAGGACGCCTAGAGGTTTCAGGTTTAGTCACATGACTTAAGATCACAAGCCTTTCTATTTCTTCTTTCTAGTATGAGGTGACGAGACATAAAATGAAGAAAATGAAGTACTGCCAGCTGAAATTCTTGCACAGAAGTTGCATAATGTATAAGGAAAGCAAGTATGACAATCGGCTGAATAACACTTTATATATCCTTCTTGCTCTAAACTGTGTAAAGAATCGATATAAATTTAAATATACCGTGTCCGACAAAATATAAATGTTCTTTAGAAAACACAATTTTTGATGTAAAATTTGAAAATAGCATATGTGCAATGGTTGAAAAATTGATAGAATTATAAAACAATCATCAAAAATCAGTAAATCACTTTATATATTCGGAATAAACGCCATTTAAAAGATTGAATTTCCTGTCCTATCGGTCAAATGGCAAACTTGTGAAATTATTAATTTGTTCGTCGAGCGGAGATATGTAAATTCACAAAATTCGATTACCATTAAATTTAAACAAACCGAAGTTTAATTTAGAATCAACCACTTCGAGCTGTACATCTTCATTGTTCGAGTAACATGAAACGTCAGAGGCCTCTTTCATCTGCGCTATCAGATGCCTCATTCCTCTGCGCTATACGATACACAAACAGGCAAAATCTTTTATTTTTAATTGTACATCTATTTCATTGAATCGCTTGTGAACAAGGCTTGCAGCAAATATTTCTCTGAAGTGTCAATAACTTTTATAAGTGTAAATCCATAAGAGGGAACAATAAATACTTTATAGAAATTTGTTTGGAGTTTTGTATTAAATTACAGTGCGTTAAATGTTATATATAAGTCAAATTTCATTCCACAATGAGAAAATAAACAAGCAAAAGCGAAAGTAAAAAAAAAAATTCCGTTATCTTATTTTCTGTATTTTGAAATGCTGACATTACTTACTATGATTATGTTAGAAATATCCGATACATTTCTAAAAGACCCTAAGAACATAAACTGTATAATAAGAGAAGTGAGATAAATGAGAAATGACAGCCGAGCTAGAGGTATCCATATAGGCCATGACAGGATATAATTCACAACACCTAAAGGAAAAAAAAGAAGAAAAAAATTATTTTACAGAATTATTATTCACTCAGTATAGTCTTCCAAATTTATCACAACCTGAGATGGACAAATAAACTTTAAAATTAGCTTATAGAGTTTTACGTATACATATACTATATTGTGGAGTTATTAGGTTATTTCGAAACAGGAGACATGAAAAGTGAGCATTGCCTTTGCTGGGACTCGAACTTCAGACCTCTCGAATACTCGCCGTTTATGCTGATCATTACACCACGAAGGCATGCTAAGAGGGCGGGATAAATACTTTATATCCTCCCCCTTTTAAAGGGCGATTGTAGGTTACGGGATTCAATCGCCATAAACCTGGTGGAATCGCCAAATCCTGGTTCAATCATCCACCACCTTTTTTAGTTAGGATGCCAGTGTAGATTCATTAGGTTATTTCAAAGCAGGAGACATGAAAAATGAGCAGTGCCCTCGCCGGGACTCGAACCTTGGACCTCTCGAATACGCGCCGAGTGTGCTTGCCATTATACTACGAAGGGATGCTAAGAAGGCGGGAGAAATACCTTAAAAATATTATATAAGATATTTTCCAATATATTTACTGATTATAACAATATATTTACTGATTGAACAAAATTAATACACTCACGTTTGTGAAAATTGCAACACCATGAAGGACTTACGCGAGTGAGCTGAAATTTTCAGGAAATGCAAAGTAGCGCATGATATGCAAATGATTAGAATTGCAAATCCGTAGCGCATGCGTATGCTGAGCAGCGCCCTCTGAACGGCGGATGGATCCGAATAAATAGACGGCTGTAGCGAGGCGTGTATGGTTATCGGTGGTTATCTGCTAGTGGTAAACGTTAACTCAATCTGTACTTATGCCTTGTCGACGAAAGAGAGCGAGATTTGAACAACTTACAGAGTTTGAACGAGGGAGAATCATCGGCCTTCGTGAAGCTGGATTGTCGTATCGTGCAGTAGCCTCTCGTGTGCAGCGTAACAGCAGCACAGTGATGCGCGTTTGGAAGCAGTGGACGGACGAGTGTCGGACAACTCGGAAATCCGGGAGTGGACCCCGAAATGTGACGTCAGCTCGCGATGATAGACACTTGGTCCGCATGGCGCGGACGGACCGTACAGCTTCCTCTAGACAATTGGCAGCACTGTGGTCAATAGCTACAGGTGTTTCATTATGTGCTTCATCAATTCGTAGACGTCTGCTGCAGTGTGGACTGCGCGCACGGACTCCTTTATACAGGATCCCCCTAACGCACGACCATCGCCGCCTGCGGCTACAATGGGCCAATCAGCATAGAGACTGGCGTGCTGATTGGCAGCATGTCGTGTTTTCTGACGAATCCCGCTTTAATTTGTGGTACCATGATGGCCGCATTCGTGTCAGACGCTATGCCGGTGAACGCCACCTTCCGGAGTGCATTATCGAACGCCACAGTGGACGAACACCCGGAGTTATGGTCTGGGGCGCCATAGCATATCATAGACGATCTCAATTGCTACGAATTGTGGGCAATCTGAACAGCAACCGGTATATCCGTGAAGTTCTACAGCCCGAAGCTGTTCCCTTCCTTCAAAGCTTGCCAGGCGCTGTATTTCAACGGGCAATGCCCGCCCTCATACTGCTCGGATTGTTAAATCCTTCTTTGCAGCGCAGCAGGTACAGCTTCTTCCTTGGCCTGCGTGTTCCCCGGATATGTCGCCAATTGAACATGTGTGGGATGTCATTGGTCGGCGTCTTGCTCGTGATCCTCGTCCTGTTGCGTCTGCAGACGAACTTTGGGTACGCGTACAAACGATATGGAATGCTCTTCCTCAGTCAGACATTCAAACTTTGTTTGACTCCATGCCACGTCGTGTAGCAGCACTTATTGCGGCGCGTGGTGGCCACACAAAATACTGATTCTGATCTCTTGTTATTGTTTGTTTGCTTTGAACATTTAATCATTTATTTGTACCACTACCACTCAACTGTGTATTAAATTGCATTCAATTATGACGATTCCTTCTTGGTGTTGCAATTTTCACAAACATGAGTGTATTTGCTTAATCAGTAAATATATCGTTAGACATTTATTTTGAATAGTAATGACTATTTTAGATCATTACATTCGAGGAGTAAAATGATTGCCAACCCCTTCTCTTTAGCATATAGCAGCTAGGCTGTATTATTAGGAATTGACAGTTTGACAGGTTGTTGAAGATATCCAAGCTTATTTCCATGTTCTTTATTAGCCTCTTCAGTGGCTGAGCGACTAAGACCACTGAATAATTGCAGTTCGATCCGGTTTCAAAGTCAGAAGAACTCGCTCGCTGCATGGTAGAAGAGGAGCCGGAGTCCCGCAGTTACTCCTCTATTAAGGAAAACACTTTCCTTAGGCAAACAGCGTCGTGTGTTTAGTCATATTCAAATATTCTGACCTAACCATGTTCTTTGCTCCACTAAATCGAAAATTTTCCCGAAATCTTTACTGCTATGTGTTTGCACATATAGAAAGGAGAATGGAAACCATGTACAAGTAAACTAGTCTGTTAGGTTAATTTGAATACAGCGGAAAACATAAGGAAATGGCATGTATGGAAAGAGACACCTTCAGAAAGTTTTTTTAAGGTAACCTGAATTTCATTCCCGTTGTACATGGGAAAAATCACAGAAACTCCCATATTACATGGGTCAGAGTCTATGCGTCAGAGTTTGAACATAAGTCGAATTTCCAGTGTTTGCCCCTCCTTACCGCTAAGTCACAAGTGAGTTCGAGCTGTTCAGATTTGGTTACAAATTCGAAAAGTAAAATTTCTGTGTACATAAATTTTCTAAAGAATCTTTGGGACTATAACACGTTTACACACGTAATTATTTTATATAGCCAGAGGATAATTTTAGTCAGGTATGATAAGGTTTATGTGAGAAGTTTGAATTTTCAAATTTTAAAAACAATAGTAGACCAGAGCGAGGAGGCGGAACTAGTCCAGCTCATGAAAAAAAAAAAAAAAAAAAAAAATAAATAAATAAATAAATAAATAAACGCCCGGATGAATTTCTGTTGAGTTTCTTTTTGATTAACCAAAAACATGAGCAAACAAGGGCCATTTGCTCAAAAAGAAAATAATTTAATCAAACTAATTGAGAAAGTATTGCAGCCATTTTTCGTTAATTTTTTTTTAATTTTCATTTTCAGAATATTTTTTCTTAGAATATATGAAGACTGATTGATGTTTTATAATGCATAAAGAGCCTTCCTAGATGTCTCCTAAAACTTAGTGCTTGAATTTTTTTCAAGATTTTGGAAGCTGCTATTCCTCACTCTTCCAAAAGCAAAGTTCTTAATAAAAACTATTAATAGATGGAATAAATTTATTTTAATTTGCTAGTTGATGCTATATTTTGGAGACGGTTGTTTGTTGATCTGATGCCTTTCTGTCAGATAACATAATAGAACGTGGGGCAAAGTTAATTTAACTCTTATTGACACATATGATTTTCAAGAGCCGTGCAAATAAAATACTCGATTTCGTTATATTGCAGAACTTCAGTAACTTTTATGTTAAAAAAATACTTTCCAAGTTTCCAAGCATTAGAAGACAGGGTCTAGATCTCCCCGTTCCCCAAATATGCAAATGTTAGCAGAAGAAATATTTCTACTGAAGAAATATGAGGGCTCCACTGTAGAGTCCGGGAATCGAACTACGGACCTCTGGAATACCGGCCCAGCGTGCAGAACCACTATGAAGGCACGCTAGAAAGATGGGAGACATACCTTATAAGGTAACCGTTTTACTTAACCTCTTCGTTATACCGGGATTTAAGGCCCATTCGGAATCTTGCATAGGACGTAAAGCTGTAGCTATTCCATTTGCTTAGAGATTCAGATTTGAGGTGTGAAATCTAAGAGAATTTCTGATCAGCTGTAATTTTAAGATATTTGATTATTTTAACATTTTTAATTTTACGGTTGTCAATTTTCAGTTATATTTTTTACAATTTTTTACATCATTTAAAAAGGATTAGTGCTTGAAATTTCAGGGGTAAAAATTTTAGCTTCTTTGGTTGACACTGGGTTTTGATGATATTAAGCTTTTGATTAATATTGTTCTTTAGAGCTTATCGAAAAATCTACATCATCTACATAACTAAAATGTTTGAAACGAGGAGGCCATAGGAAATTGATGATTCTGTTCAATGTAATTTTCTACAGATCTGTACTCAGGCTGGATCCCCGTGGACAACCTCTGGACATGTTCATCTTTATTATTCAGAACGATATTCCTACGGTTGTAGAGTAATTCTTTCGTAAGCACAAAGATGCTTTTAGGGCAGTTGATGTCTCTGAGTGGCTGGAATATTCACGGCCAAAGAAGTTGACGAGGTGTAGGAGCATGAGTATTAAATGTAGTTGATTCGTTTTATTACTGTTTGCCTGTTTAAATAGTGAATCGACGGCATTAACTGGGAAGCGTTGACTGAGTAATCCGTATTGATGAGGGCGCATATAATTGGTCTTGGAGAAGTGAAATCAATACTTTTCTTGCATTGTAAGATTTTAAAATTTTTTACTATAAAAATATGTTAAATGTTGTGAACCTTAATGTCTTGTACAGGCCAAATATATTTGGTGAAGTCGCTGCAGTCAGCGGAATATATAAGCTAAACATAGTATTTATTGATTCATTTGTTTAATCTTAGAAAAGAGGTCCAGCACACCAAAACAGCAGATCTGTTCGTAAGGCCTAAATTTAGCATATCATTATTTCGAATCCAAATATACTTATGTCCAGTTGACGCCTCTGAGAATAACGTAGCCTTGGAATCCACTAAAAATTAGCGTCTCAAATGGCTGCTTATGTTACCTGTGCGTATAGAAAGCCTGGAATTAATTACCCACAGTTTATAGAAAGATCTTTAGAAAGAAAACTTTTATATTTGGAGGCAGAAGGAAACTCACGTTCTGCCAAAATATGAGACTTATTTAAAGTGTTCTTCCTATTACTTATTTTCAAAATTTAGAACAACACATTTACTAGAATGGCTCACTAACAATTTCTTTATAAACGTAGTTTTAATTGAACGCATTTCTTTTGGTAATTGATGAATACTACTTATGCATGTCATAACTTTTTTGATATATAATAAAAATTGGCATATCTTTATTTAATTTAAAGAGCTTTTTAATCTTCAGTAACGTTGACTAAAAATATCCGAACAAAGAAAAATTTGTTCAGTGATTTATCAGATTCTGATAATAAAACAGTTCGGTAGATTTAAAATAAATTAAGAGTTAAAAAATTAAACATTTAATTAATATAAATGTAATAAACTAATTTGTTGGGATGTTTTTAAAATGTGTAAGAATATATGTAGAATTTTGTATTGGCCAATTTGTAATTTTCCTTTCTTACCAATCTGTGCAGAAAAAAGATTCTGTTATTAACATAAACTTGTGTTATGAGTCATTACTGATACAAAATTAAATGTATTTGAAAATATATATATTTTGTTTCATTTTATATTTATAAAATGAAACAAAATGCCGTTTCTGATAAAATCATGTAATAATAAAAAAGAGATTAAGACAATTATTTTTACTTAAAAAGTAGGATGATTAATCTGTTCATGATATTATCAGCTATATTATACATAGTATATCACACCTAGGAATTTGCGCTAAGACATGCAAACGCTTGAACAGTACTCCTTGAAAACTTAAAAAAAAGGGTGTGGAATACATATGCAGTAATACGTGTTCCTCTTAATGACGGTTGGTTATCACATATTTATGCATAATTAAAAATGAAAGTCTGTAATCCTGAATATTGTGCCTGTCATAGGAACATGTATAAAACAGGTCATACATAAGTTTGCTCCTTCAATTATGTTAAATTGAAAATAGTATTCAAACGAAATAATGTGCCTTATATGCAGTGGTGTGTTGTGTCTTCTAACAATATCGTAGCAATATCTAACAATATTCCACACAAATACTATAGTTCATAGAAATGCATAAAAATAAAATTAAAGTCGTCCTATGTAATGCAATGAGGTATCAATGAAGCTTTAAAATATTAGGTTATCAAAGTTTAGAGCTATACAAAATATAGTTATCGAAAAGATGGAGCTTATTTTAAACAGTGTTAACAGAAAATGTATTTAAGGTAGCTTTACAGTTTTATTGAAAACTCCATATGAAAGTTGAGTTTGGTTGAAAAGTTCAATCTATCAACACATTTGCACGAGCTCCATTGGTTACCTTGCAGATATTAAAGTGGTGCTCTGCTTCCAACCACCTGCCCTGGATCATATAAGCTGCGATTCTCGGAAAGACAAAAAGTGTCAATTTTGCTTAAAAGATTGCTAAAAATTATACTGCAGTTATAGCAGATTAAAACAATGTTTACAGTGCGCTTTTTTATGAGCAATCGCGATCTTTCCATGGATAAATATTACTGAAAGCGGTTTCATCAGTAGTATTCAACAAATTCATGTCATGATTATCCACCCATACTTACAGTAAAAGCTTGGACATTCTTTCTATTATTTTGAAATAAAAAATAAGATAATTGGTTTATCTTAAAGCACAACACAGTTATTCATTTATTCTTTGTTCACTTTTTTCTAATGCCTTCTATTGTATAATATAGATAATAATATTACCTCCATGTCCTGTCGCGCAGCAGAGAACTATCCAAGCTATACCAACAGTGAATGTTGTCTTTGCTAAAGAGGGGAACATAATTCTTTCGAATTCAGTAGGTTCTAGGCCAGCATTCCATTTCTTAGTTCCGAAAACAGCACAGGAACATAACACAGTAGACAGAGACCAGCCAACGCATTGCCAAATCTGCAAATTAAATAAAGATTCCGTTCCGAGCACAAATTTATAAAATTTCAAATTGTTTTGATATATGTTATTAGACATTATCAACTAAAGCCTGTTCGCATACCATAACTGCAATACAGTATAATAAAAATAACGCATAATTGAAGTGTACACTGCTCAAAAAAAAAAAAAAAAAAAAAAAAAGGGACAGTGCTATGTCTCCCGTTCTACTGGGCCGATTGACAAAATTCAAACTGCGTTTTTCATGTCTCGAAAGCGCGACTTAGGATATATATTAGATTTATATATAGCACTATTCTAACATAGGTATTTTGAAACAAAATCGGACTTTTTCTGAAATAACATACCAATTTTTTTCCATATTTCGATTCTTACGACTCAAAATATGCCAGAATACCAAGTTTTGTAAAAATCCTACGACTAGTTTTTTAAAATATTAGCTATCAAAATTTTAGCTCCTCAAGTTAATGAATGAATTTGGCAAATATTATTAATATCTCTTTTTTATTAAACTTTTTTGATCTTTATCTCACATTTCGAAATTTAGGTTCATTCCAAATAAAAATTTACCCAATTGTTTGTATTTTATTTTTTAAATTTCTATTTTAAATAATTTTTATAAATTTTTTTTTCGAAAAAAAATTTTGAAAATTATAACCTATAAAATTTTTACCATCATCATTAAAGTAGGTGTATTTTTAAGCATATCTGCAAAGAATTAGACTTTTTATTCAAAAATTTTCTAAGATATACACGAATTTACATATTTTCGCGTTTTGAAATTTAGCATCTTTTTTTTTGAGCGATAATAACGCCAAATGTGGTCTATGGATTTTTGTTAGACTGAATTGCCACAGCTATTTTTAACCTTAAATTTCAAGTAAAATTTTACGAAGAATTATTTTCCCTCAATAAGGCGTAATAAATATTTATTAATACTATATGAAAAGCTATTTTTTTTAATTTATAGATGATGTTATTCAAATTTTAACAATGTTTTTTAATTTCTCTCTTTCTTCCTTTTTTTAAAAAAAATAAGAGTACATCTTTCTAAGAGTAAATTTTTACCTTCGGCGTTTTATCGTCTGCTACTTTACTTCGTTTAAATCGAATTGTCTAAAACTGAGAATTTTCGTTTAATGTTTATTTGAATTTTATGAAAATATTTTATGACATTAACTGCATAATTTATTTCTGAACAAACTGTTGGTTTTGAAGTGGCTGAAAGAGCGGCAGATACGATCATCCATATTTTTAAAGCACAGTATATTTTTATAGAAACCAGAGTCGTAGCTAGGGTTTTCAGCGCCCAGGAACAACTGAAGATTTCGCGCCCCCTACTGCTTGCCAAGGATAGAAAACATTTAATTCTAAAATGTCATAACATCAGTTTGGCGCCCCTTAGATTCTGCGCCCGGGGACAGATGTCCACCCTTGCCCCCTCTCGCTACGCCCCTGATAGAAGCATAAGATTTAGAATAATCATTTATATAAGTCAAATTATGATATAAACATACAACCCTCTAGAGACTGAATTAGTGGAAGTTCAATTGTTATGTAGAAATTATCTGCAGCTACTTAATGGCTGGATAAGTCAGCAGCTTCTGTGGACAAGTAAGAATAATTATATAAACGACACACAACATTCTGGATTCAATTAACAACGAGGATACGATGTTTATTAAATGAATTTAAGAAGTTTTACTCATTTTTTAAGTTCAACTCATTTTTTATCCTAAAATGTATTTTTGTGCGTAGCGTATTTTCATTATATCCTTAAAATTCTAATTTAGAATGTAATTGTCAAGAACTAAATCCTAATTATCAGTAATATAATAAGTAATTATGTATTACGGTTATTAATAAATCCTTCTTATAAAGTAATTGTAAATATTTCAAAAAACTTTCTGTCTGAATGCAAATATTTTTCTATGCAAAATTTTTAATTTTTTATTAATCAAGATTGCACACGATATTATTTATTTGCACTTCAATTTTTACCGTCAGCTCTAGTAGAAGTTACAAATCAATTATATTTAATTAAGGATTTGATTAGATTATTTAATTATGGCAAAGCACACGAGGGCTATCTGTCTAAAGGGAGGGATGCCTTCATGGAGGACTTTCTAAGGTAAACTGGCTCGCATACACGATACACATGGGGAAAACCACGAAAAGGCCCATGCAGCCAGCCCGTTCGCGGGATTCGAACCTCAGACCGTACTACCAGTGCTCAGCGTCTTTACCGCTCGGCCGTTTGTGGGCCTTTATGAAATGGAAGGCGATAACTTTATTTAAAATGATTGTCAGAAATATCAAGATATTTCGAAAATTTGTATGTTTTTTAATATACTTGCGGAATGCCTTAAGAAAAAGAGCAAGAATTAAGTAGAATGCCTGAAGAAAAAGATAAGAAAAAATAAATTTTACTGTAAAATTTAGTATTTGTATTTTTTTTTTTTAATTTAAAACTTTTTAATCTTATGATATATTTGATTCTTACGAATTCAAAAATAAAATATTTGACTAAAATATGAATAACATTTAAGAAGCCAAATGTAGGATAAAATTGTGTAAAGCAATGGGCACAATGATAAAACTGTTTAAAGCAGTGTATGCAAGTCATCCTAAGTTAAAATGTCGCAATCCTAAGTTAAATGTCTCTCTTATTTATATATATCTTTTCTGAACGGAACATTGAAAGGCGTGTGTTAACTGTGCTTTACTGTATTTTTTCTTTTAATATATGCAGTTTTTCAAACGCATCGTAGTCTGGGTTACAAAGTATTCCTCCTAAAGAAACTCAATTCAAATAAATAAAATCAAATTCTGGAAAATTTATATTAATAAATAAATATATTTAAAATTCTCAATTCTAAGAAATAAATAGAAAATTTTAAAACAATTATCTGAAGAGACAATGCAACACAAACAATTAAAATAAAAGTTTAAGTATTTAAAAATTACCTAAAATAATAAGTATGACAAAATATATATATAAAGAAAACTATTTGAAAAAAAAAATAAACGCTGCACCTTTATTTACGCAGTTCGAATAGGTAAGTATAAATTTTTAAAACAGTTATTCAAAAAAACCATGCAACTTAAACAATTAAAATTAAATTCGAAAAAGAAAAAATTGCTTAAAATAATAAGTTATAATTAAAAATATAATATAAAGAATATTATTTGGAAAAAAGGAATGACCTTTTTTTCCTCTCACGGGAAAGGAAAACTAGGTTGCCATATATTAAGAAGTTCGCCAAGTGAACTATTCTTGGCGCAAACTGACAAAAAAAGTGCCAACATAAATTTTTGAATTTCTCCTTAAATTCCGTACCAAATTTTACAAAATTCAATATTTAGGCGTAATTTGAGTCGTAAAATCGAAATATGTAAAAAAATTGGTATGTTGTTTCAGAAAAAGTCCGATTTTGTGTCAAAATACCTATGTTAGAATAGTGCTATATATAAATCTAATATATATCCTAAGTCGCGCTTTCGAGACAGGAAGAACGCAATTTGAATTTTGTCAATCGGCCCAGTAGATCTGGAGATATAGGACTGTCCCATTTTTTTTTTTTTTTTTTTTGAGCAGTGTACATCACGAAACTTGTCTTTGTTCATCAGCGGTATACATCATGTGGCAATGAGCGTTGGATTGGATTCGGTTGAGGTCCAATTAAAGTGATCAAAGATTTTATTACTTATTGTGAGTTTTAATAAAATGTGTTCACCTAAGTTTTATAATTTCACTAAAGTTTAAAATTCTTGGTTTATATGATGTATGTTTAAAGGTAAAATTTTGATTTACTTTTTTCACTGAAGAATTTAAATTTTTCACTTTCGGTTTCAGTTCTTTGAACAAAATATAATTCTCTTTATTTAAGGTACAAGATTCTAATCAGAATTTTTCTCCTTGCTTTGGGAAAGGATCAGAATTTTCGGGTGAACTATTATAATTGAAATGGTTCGAAATCTTTTAAAAGTATGTTCAACTATTGGGCCATAGTCATACAAGTTCTTTTCGTTTGTTATACAAGTTTTTATAAAACGCATAGTGAGTGATTAACTGAATTATGTAAAACTGCACTAAGTTCATGATAAACTATGAAGTTTCTTAGTCACAGTGAGGGAGGGGAATCAATAACAGTTAGAGAAATTTTATCCTGCATATGTTGCATTAGCTCAGTTAAATCGACGAGTAAATGATTTGGATCATATTAAGTTTTTTTAACTTTCATACAAGTTTCCGTTGCTCTTTCATGAATATAATTCTCATAAACGCTTGTTTGCAATGTTTCTATGAAGACAATGATATGTTAAATATCCGTAGGATCTATTAATCGGGATAGTTTTGAGGATCTACATAATAAGACGCAACATAAACTTGATTAGGTTTCATCATATATGAAAATATTTTTCCCCTGTCTTGAGCATTAGGTCATCTTTAATTGGACGCTAATTTGCAGTAGTTGAAACACTGCAGATTGGATTACTGTCTTTCACTTTAAACCTGCATTAAGTTGTTTAGATTTCACAAAATATTGTAATTACTTACAAAATTTGAGATAGAAGGAGAAAAGTCTCATTTTAGTTTTACTCAATTAATGTTTTGTTGTAACTAGCGAAACATAATACACAAACTGTATTGCAAATTTGCAACTGATTGAGGTACAATTCTTTACTGAAAAGTCCCAGTTTTGTTGTTAAAACATTTTTATTTAAATTTGTGTTGTATATTTCCAAGCCTTGAGCATCGAGTAGTTAAATTAGTATTAAATATTTAATATTCAGATAGACACTATCAAAGGCGATATACATAGCCTCTGTTAATAATCTATAGATTAATACAGCAAAGTTATATGGCAGTAATATGGCAGTTAATCAATTCTAGTTTGTGAGATATATAATACAGGCTTCATATATGTACAAAAACTTAAAGATCTTCTAATTTGAAAAATTACATATTCCAAAATATTAACTTTTAGATAATAATACCTCCGTTTTTTCGTATTGCATCAAAACTTTGCTCGGTTAAAGTTAAGATAGTTATATATCAAAAGATCTACAGATTATCAAATTCTGTTTAAGCGGGAATGCATACAGAAAACAAGTAAAAGGAGATATGCAATCTTACAGTAAATGCTAAAATTCTAAACATATACAAATACCTTTGGAATTTTAATTGCCTTTTTCGTAGCTAAAAAATATCCTCCTAGAACACCAAGAAAATATGGTGAAGCATTTATCACTGGATGAGCGTGCACCCTCCAGAATTCTTGAAACTCCCTGAAAGAAGAATATCCTTATAAGAACGCATTTATATTTTCATACAATCAACTAAAAACATTGCCTAACTTTTGCAAATACAGCGACGAATGGCACATTCACAGTAACAGTTTCTTTACCTTGATCGTAATTCGTAAGAAAAGTAATAAAAGATGTAAAACATTTTTAATTACACTATTTTAATTAAAATGGCATAAATATTTAAATAAATACTTTTTGCTATAATGCTATTCTTGGTCATATATTGATAAAAACTCAAAACATAGGGCGGATGGCAAACTCAAACAATGGCGGATTTTAATAATGTTAAAGTAAAATTTAATGAGTTGAATCATTTTTATATATATCATTTCTAAATATCATAATTATTTCTATAACTTCAAATTATCTTATTGCAATAATAATATCCCTGTATAGACAAAGACCACATTCACTGTTGGTATTTAGTTTTAAGGGAATGTGATTAAGGATATGATCAGCCTCCTAAACAGTATAATGTTAGGGAAGACTACTGCGGTTTCCAAGGGTCCAAGCTCGAATCCCGGAGAAGGCATGGATGTTTGCAAACGTATAGTGTCTTTGCGGCTGAGAACAATCTAAATATATGGCTATCCGAAGGACCTTTTGAGAGGTTAGTGGTAGGGAAACGGGGATTGGCGACAGTAGGATCTGTCATCCTAGGGTGTTCTCCAACAAAATTGGGAGCAGAACTGAGCGAAATCATATTGCAATCTGTATGGTGCTCAAGGCTCTTGCTAATGGCAAGGGCAGTCATACTCTCCCTGATACGATTAATTTCGTGGGCTTATTCAGATGGTACTGTCAAACAAGTGAGATAAGTTACAACAACAAGGATATAATGATAGCTGAACATTTGGTTTCCTGATGAGTTGGCTTGAAAGGGTTTAAATGAAAAACTTTCTGATGTGACTGTCTGAACTGTTTGTGTTTTCAGTCTGGAGATAAAGCAATAAAGAACTAAATTACTTATCTTATTGTACAAGTAATATTATTATTTTAATTTCTGACTGATTTAGAACATTTTTCTCGCCATGACTTAAAAGCGAATGCTAACAACGTAGGAATTTGAGTATTAAATTCATTATATAGAAATATGAGATAAAAAATCTCATGTGCACACCACATGATTTCCTTGTATGAAGTATTAAATTATATACATACGTACTGCACACTGATATTCGAGATTACTATGTTTTCCACTTTTATCAAGAAATGAAACATGGAATCTTACATTGATTATAATAAGTAAGTCAGAAATGCTAATAGTAAACAAAAATATATTATGATCACTGTTTTGTCCGCATGCAGTTGTTACGCCTTGCTGCTGATTAGCACACCAACAAGAAAGGCCAATGCGCTTAATCTTACTCATTAATAGCTGCAGATAAGTCTTAAAACTTGCCTTTTGTTGCAGGTAAGCTTACTGCAGTACGTACAGCAGGAAAGGGCCGAACAAGTATAGTTAAAGTTATTTAGATACAATTTATTTTTTTATTTGTTAGTATTCCTTTAACAGTCATTTATGCTATACGTAGCCTATACGTGTTTGGTGGATAACAGTTCGAAAGAGTTTGTACGAAAAATTTGATCATTTGTCTGTAAAATAAATATAGGTTGCTTATAAAATAACCTTCCCTATTTGAAGGCATCTGCAGCTGAAATCAATGAACGGAATGACACCAAATTGCATATGCAGACTTTGCAAAGCATGGGAAGTTGAAGTCCGCGAAAAATAAAAATTTAATACCAAATGTCATCGAGTGGAGAGATTTTGGCGCTGTCAAAACCGAAAACGGGTTAATAATGCTGCGTTCTAATAGTGATAACGACAATCAGTTCAAGACAAGTAATAATAGCATTAAACAGATATAAAACTCAGCTTCTGAAAAGCTGAGCGAACTGGATTCCTCAGAAGGAGACATTAACTCGTCTAGAGTGTCTATTGACTAAATTATCTTAATGGATACGCTGAATAAGAAAAACGACCTTAATTATTTCGAATGCACATTTTAAGTCTGTTAAGAAAAGGCAGTTGATATAAATACTTACTCTCTGCTTATATGAGTTACAACAAAAGAGGGTGTAAGGTTCCAGTACCATGTATAAACACCTGTGAACACCACAGACATCAACACAACCAGCAAGTTCAGTAGTACTCCATACTTAGGCCGCCTGTAAATTCAAACGCAGTTCAGTTAATATTACGTTTAAGCAAGAACCTTATCATATATTAAAGCTTCAGCACAGCAGCGCAAAGAGTGTGCCTTAATGCTGTTAAAATATATATTTCGGAAGAAATAGATGTTCAGGACTCGCACTAGATTTCATGAAGAAGAGGAAAAAAATTAAATTACAAAAATAAAAAAAAATCATATAAAATCTATTAACATTTTATCACTTTTGGAAATTAAATAAAACAAAAGTGTTAAAAAAGGAATCTGAAAGGTTTAAGACTTTAACGGTCGCCCAAAAGTGTTTGTTAAGGTTTTTTACGCTCTCGGTCTACCAATGCATTCTCTTCTGATAACCCTTATTCTTTTTTGTTTTGTTTTTAAGCTTTATTATTAAACATGGTTTTCATTGCACTTGCGCCACATGCTGTTCGACAATAAAATCACATTTTTTTTTTTAAAATCTGCATAGCAGCATATGTTTACAGCTCCCGACGAAGGGCTTGCTAAGTGTTGTCATGCATTTTTCTACTTTCTGTCAGTCTTTTCTCCGTTCATCATGTCAATATTCAGTTTTAGTAAAATGGCTAGCATTTTTTTTTTCTTTTTCTTATTAACTTTTTATCTATTAACTTCATGTATTAAAATTTTATTTAATAACTAGCATAGTCTTCGCACTCACGCTATATAAAATTCAATTCAACACCAAAATTACAAAATATTTATAGACAGCATATCTTTAGAATTCCCGATATTGTGTTAGAGGTTGCCGTACTAATTTTATATTTGCTATATTATTTCTTTAAAAATTTGACCAGGCTACTGCCTAAAGCAGTTATTTAAAAAGAAAATGTATATTATGTTTTTAATGAGTGCAGCTGGTGTAATTTCATAAAAATGTTAAAAGCTTTTAATTACACATCTCAATATTTTAATACATATTTATTTAAATCAATCACATTATAAAATAAAAAAAATATTCTCGAGAACTGTGTATATTGCTTTTAAATAGCTTACACTATTTCTCAGTAATCTTCCATATTACATTCGAAATTATACCACTCGGCAGCGAAGATAAAAGTATTTAAATTCCGGCCGCAACAAAGCAATGCTTTCATAGCGCCGAGTGTTTTAACTAAAAGATAAGTATCTTGCATTTTTCCGAATGCTAACCAGAATGAAAAATTTTCCGCATGCAGGAAAAAATGTTTTAATTTGAACTGTAGTGTTGCAACTACACTGTTTTAAATCATCTAGTTTGATAATGAAAAGCACATTAAAGTTTTGCAAAATGTGAAATAAATAATAAACCAACTTGGCCAACTTTATTGGGTGGCCGACTACGTTATTCAAAATTTGACGGCTGGAGGTGTAGCCGTTTTCCACAATGCAAGAAACATAACATACACACATGAAGATTCGTCATTATTTAATTTCTTTAAAAATAACACAGGGCGGTGATATTTGATGGCAACAATTTAAAAGTGATAAGCCGTTTATAGTGAAGTAACTCAAAATTTCATTTCGAGACTAATAGCCCCTTCTGGGCTAAAAATATGTTTTGATATTATCAGTTTTTAATTAAAACTCATGAAGTAAATAAACTAAAATGAAAGGAAAATATCATATACTTCAAAGGGAACGAAAGTTTAAATAATTTTCATGTCACTTTGTAAAGATAATGACTTAGAATTTTGACAATACATTTAGATTGTTACGTTTTATTTAGGATTCCATGCTTGTATTATTTATGATATAAAATAGAAGATAAATGCATAATTATTTAATCTATTGTTTCCATCAAATTATAGGATAAAATGTTGTTTCCTGTTAGTTTAACTATTTTATAATTTTTTTAATTAAAGCTTATATTGTAAAACCCTTTTAATATTTATTTTGTACTTTTTGGTGTCATTGACATGTTATAAATCATATTAATTTAAAAAAATGAATAATAATACCTTTCTTCTGCCTTCTTGGGGAATTTATAGTATATCGTGTCAGTGTGGTTTAAGATATATTGGCCAAACAAAAAGAGCGTTGAAGTTTCGTATCAAGGAACATGAATCTTATGTCAGAAAAGGCGAAGTTAGCAAGTCTTCAATAGCGTATCATAGTTGGACATTTAACCATAATTTTTACTTTGGGTCTGCAAAAATTATCCAAAAGGCTTCTTCCATAGGTGAATTGGATTTTCTTGAGGCTTTTCACATTCACAAAGATTTAGCAGGTTTAATTAATGATTTGAAGTCCAATCCAGTCCTTCCTAATTCCTTTAAAATTCTACTATCTTAATTCAGTTATTTTTGCCGATAGATGGCGATACCTCCTCGCGTTTGGTACTACCAGGGGGTATAAAAATCCGTTTAGTGGTTGCTTTCCATTATTTGAAGTAAAGATTTTGAGCGTGAAGTTGCATTTGCCCCTCGCTCCCTATTTTAACTTCGCTAATTTTTCTTGTCCTTTATGCTTGATCAGATAGCCTGGCTCAGTAAAAGTAGGCGGCCAGTGCAACTCTGATTAAAATTCCATTTATAACCACGTGCATTGCTGATAAGGACCACGTGTTTCTGAGACTCCTTCTCCTTTATTTTCTTCTTTCTAGGTATTTCTTTCTCCTGATGAGGAGGGACCTTTAGCTGCCCTCGAAATCGATTGAGTGTTTCATTATACCTACGCTAAATACAAGGTTGTTTTTACGATTTTGATTGTCACATTAGCGTGTTTCTCTTCTAGTTCTAGTTTACTTCTGCCTATTTTGTTATTATATTTGCAGCTTTACGTTAAAGTGTGTTATTTCTAATTTTACATTCATATTTAGATATATTATCATCGATAAAACATTTATGTTCTTGATCTGAGAATATTTTCACAGTGAACTTCTGGTCATTTTTCTTTAAAGCGTAATTATTATTGTTTCTTTCGGAGTCACCTTTGTGTTACCTATCCTATCCTTAAAATCCACATTTTTGGACGTTAGCATTTTAAAGTCCCATAAAAGAATGTAATATGGCATTTACAAAGAAATTAAGAAAATCAGATTTTAAAATGATATACCGAGAAAAATGCATATGAACATATGAAATCTAAAAATTAAACATTTCTGTTTTTTACAATATTTTCATTTCGTATGATATATTTGCTTGCAAATAGAAATTCTAAGTTCCAATCAGTCTTTAAATCATGTTTCTTCTGAAACTAATAAAATGAAATGAACAGCAAATGCAAAACTCTATCTATAAAAAGGGAAAAAAGAGAATTTATGAAATGGTAGAATATTTTAGTATCAAACTGAATTGCTTTGAAAGTAATTCTTTCTAGCAAACAAAGGGAAATAAACAAGTAACATCGATACTAGAGAAACTATAGACGTATCAACATCATCACAAATTAAGAGAATTACGAGACGCAGAAGAAGAAGCAAAACTTCGCCTGTGATTTAACATTTGTGTAGCATTTTTAATGTAGAACATCATTTAAGTAGTATTTTTTTAATTCTTGTTTTAAAAAACGGCAAAGAGTTTGTTTTATAATTTGTGAAAATATCAAAATAGGTATACATTTAGATGTTGAAATTGTAAAATAATGAAAGTCAAATCGTCAGAAAATAAAAGCGGGATTTTCGAAAATTAGCCACAAAATGAAAACCTATATTAAGAATTTCACATAAATTTCATTTAAAGGATTTTATTTCTGCCCTTTTCGAGGATGGAAAAGGTAAAATTAAGAAAAACTTTTATTGTTAGCACTGAATTGTGTAGATTACAGGAAAACATTCAAGAGCTATCTACTTAATGAGAGGAATGTCTTCGTTCATGTCTTTCGAATGAAAACTTGCTCGTATTCAGATTAAAAATGGATGAAAACCATAAAGGCTTCCGTGCAGCTGACCTGTTAGCCGAGATGTGAACCCGAGTGGTACTTGTGTTCATTAAGTTCAAACATAACGTGTTTTACTGATACCGTTGAAACAGATATTATCGTATACGGGTGCCATCCAGACGAAATAGTGGCTAGTGACGTTTACTGCCGTATCGTTAGGCTCGGTTTTGAACCCGGGAGAAAACAAAGATATTTGTAAGTATATACACTCATGTCCATAAATTAAGGATAATGCAAAATCAGGCAAACGAAGTGTTAGAAGCAAAACAAATTTGACTTATTTGTAAAGCTTATTTATTAAACAAAAGGTAAAGAGCAAAAAAAAGATGCTATATGTTTGATATTATTAAAAAAATTAGCGATTTTTCTCCCTGGAGCAAATTACAAAAAACACCTATTTACAAAAAACCAATATTACATGGTTGGTATTATTGTTGATACATTGTATGTCTCCCAGACGATGCAATACAGTCCGCACAACACCTAGGCATTCTGAGTATCAAATTATCGATCTGATCTTGGGGGATATAACACCACTCAAAAAGCAATGCTCTCCGAAGTTCCGGTAGACATGTAGAAGGAGGTTGAGGGGCTGCAACTCGTCAGCCAAGCATGTCCCACACGTGCTCGACTGGATTCAGGTCCGGTGAGAATGCTGGCCAGTCCATACGGGTGATATCCTCCGATTGAAGGCATTCGATTACGATGTTTGCACGGTGAGGACGGGCGTTGTCATCCATAAACACAAATTGTGCGCCCATGGCGCCCCGAAACAAACGTACATGTTGTTCCAGAATGACGTCCCGATAGATTTGGCTTGTCATGGTTCCAATTTGAACATGCAGGTCAGTTCTGGAACCCAGAATAATTCCACCCCAAACGAGCACTCCTGCACCACCGTAACGGTGTCGTTCAATGATGTTTTCTTGGTGGTAACGGGTACCTGGAGCTCTCCATATGAAAGTCCGGCGAGAATCAGACTGCAAGCTAAACCTTGACTAGTCGGAAAACATCACACAAGCCCACTGTTGCGATGTCCACAATGCATGCTCTCTACTCCAGGCTAACCGCAGGCGACAGTGAGCTGCAGTAAGTGGAACGCATCTGACAGGTCTACGA